CATGACTTTTGTTTCTTTCTTCCCTGGCAGCGGTGCTCTGGCTGGCAACCCACTGGATATTGATAGAGAGCTTCTGCGCAGTGGTAAATGTGTCCCTGTGACCGAGAGGCACAGGTCTACTCATAATATCTGGGAGTTGGGGAACCATTGACACACTGTCCTGATGTTATTTTGGATGTGTTGCAACACCTTAACATGGGGATGGAGAGTAATAAATAAAAATATTAGTATGATCTGCTGTTCAGCGACACAGGCGGGAGGCAGCTCCTAATCACTTGGTAAGCCAGAAGGCTTTTTACAGCTGTGAGACAGCAGGTGCCTGTAAGGTAGGAGCATAAACAGAGCCACCTCTGCTGCACAGTGGCTGCCTGGGCTAATAACAAAGACCCTGCTAAGCATGTTTGTGCTCCTGGGACTACTCAAGGGCTCACAGTCACCTGCATGCTGGGGCAGCCTCATGCATTCAAGCTCCAGTCATGCCAAGCCTGACCTTCTCTGTCCATCAACTTTTTTACAGAGCTCTGCTTTGCTTCCATCAGCCTGAACAGCATGGATGCTGTTAGCGAGAGAGACTTTGTGGGTAAGCACAGTTCAATCACTTCTTCCCACCACTGTTAGAAGCAGGCTTCTGAGACCTTTCCAGTAGACCTCCATTAATGAAGGAGACTAAAATCCCTCACTAGGACGTAATTATACAGAAAATCTGTTTGCTCATGTTTCAACTCCAGTCAGATCAACTAAGGTTGTCAAGCAAACAAGCACCTCTTTCACCTCCTGATTTCCTGCCTTCTTTGCAGTGGAATTCCTCTCTGTTGCCACCCTGCTGATGATCCACCTTAGCAAGATGGCTGAAGATCTCATCATCTACAGCACCAGCGAGTTTGGCTTTCTGACCCTCTCTGATGCTTACAGGTAGAGCACTGGTCTCTGGGCAGAGAGCCCTTCCCTCAGCCTCTCCTCAGCTATCCCCTCCTGAGAGAATGAGACAGTGGTTGGGGTCTCCGTGCTGCGCAAGGCTGACATAATATTAATAGGCTGGCAGAAACACAGTCTTAGGGTGAACATTCCTCAGTAACGATCCCTTATTTCTGATTCTGGTAACTCAACCAAGTCTGCTTTCAGCAGACACTCCTCCGCAGCAACTGCTGGCAGAGAGATCTTCCACCTCTGCTGGGAATGCCTGCCAAAGCCCTTCCTTGACTAGCCAGGTTTGCAATCCTAACAGATTTCCTGTCCTTCAGGGCAGCACAACCACAGCCCTCCCTCTCTGAGGTCACAGCAAGCCTTAGGCTAGCCTGCTGATCCCACTTCTGGAGCGGCCTGGGGGGAAGCCTTCTGTTAGCTTCCTCTTGGAGAGGTGGGACTGCATGGTAGCTCCCTACACCCTGGAAAGGTGGTTGGCGAACAGGGACTTATGGGACGGCTTTTGGAGGGCTGTGTCAATAGTCTGCCTGACCTGTCTTAGCCTGTGTTTGTATGGACTGGGGTCTTGCTCACCGTTACATTCCAAACACCTTTCTTTCAGCACTGGCAGCAGCATAATGCCTCAGAAGAAGAATCCTGATAGTCTGGAACTGATCCGCAGCAAAGCTGGACGAGTGTTCGGACGGGTGAGCCTGCTAAAGAAAGAAACAAGTGGGATGGGGAAACTACTCATACCGAGGCCGCAAAATGTTCCTTCTTGACTCCGTGTAAAGAAATGTGCCCAGTCTGGGGTCTTAACCTCTGCTGGAGCAATGTGCTTCTCTTCCTAGAACTAACTGCCTCACTTGTTTCTTTCTGCAGTTGGCTGCTATTCTCATGGTTCTCAAAGGACTTCCAAGCACCTACAACAAGGATCTGCAGGTAAAACAGATGTTGGTTTTCACACCATCTCTCTGAGAAGACAGAGCCATCTTTTGCTCTTGAGCAGTTTTGCCACTACACTGACACCCCAGCCATAGCAGGAGCCCCTGGGATGACACGGCTGCTCTGCTGGCAGGGCTGCTCAGGTTGTTGGGCTTTTGGGCTGCATCAGGTTGACTTAGCGCAATTTCCATCCCTGTTCTAATGCAGGAGGACAAGGAGGCTGTCTTTGATGTTGTGGACACCCTGAATGCTGTGCTCCAGGTTGCCACCGGAGTGATTTCTACCCTCCAGGTAAGGCTTCAGCCTCTCACTATTCAACATGGGTGGGGTGAATGTTCTGAGAGTAATACAGGCAAGAGAGCCATCTTAGACTGGTGCTAAGATGAAGATTCTTCAGCGGCTCACCCATATTGCTCATTATACTCCCCACTGTCAGCTTGCTCAAGGGGTCAAAAGGTCCTGTTTGAGCCAGGTCCCTTCCAGAATAAGTCACCTCACTGTGACCACTAACATGTCACCAAGAAGGACCTGATGATAATGTCTCCCTCTTGTCCTCATTCTGCAGATCAACAAGGAAAACATGGAGAAGGCATTGAGCCCCGAGATGCTGGCTACTGACCTGGCTCTCTACTTGGTTCGTAAAGGAGTAAGTATCAGAGGGAGACTTGGAGCTGTGATTTCTTTGGATGCAGAATACTGCTCAGTGAGGGCCCGAGATGAGGCCTTCTGTTCTGTCCCCAGGTGATTATCAGTCTGGGTCAGCAAACCTGGATTCACATGGCATTGCCCTAATTGACAAAAAGCCAACTAAAAAAGAGAGCATATCCATGTTTTTCCTTTGAAAACCACCCCAGCTGCCTGGTCACTGACTGTGGCCTCTGGTTCTCACTGCAGATGCCATTCAGACAAGCCCACATTGCCTCTGGGAAGGTCGTCCACCTCGCCGAGTCTAAAGGCACAACCATCAATAATCTCAGCGTGGATGACCTGAAGAGCATCAGGTTCGTATTGCCAGTATTTTGCCATGCCTCCCCTCAACAGGCAGGTAGCGGCCTCCCTTCCTCCAGGCCTCCCCAAAATGCCTGGGCCAGACAGCACCCCAAAATCCTCCTGGCCTGAATATCAGTGCTGCTACTGCTGGGCCTGAAAACACTGAAGGGGGACAACATCACCACCACTCGGCTCCAGTGGGGCATGGGCAGCAGCTATTGGCAGGGACTGGAAGAAACTCATGCCCTGACCTGGAGGCACCAGCCCTCCAGAGGACTTTGCCTCCAAACTTTCTTGCTGTCCCCTTGGAGCTGACCCTTTGGTCTGCCACAAGCAGCCACTGTCCGGCACCAGAGGTGCAGAAGCAGGGCTGCAGAAGGTCTTTCCCCCTGGAAAAAGACTCCGTCTCCGCTCCCTCCCCCTCTCTGCAGGCAGGGAGCATGTAAAGCCAGCCATCAGCACCCAGCGCTCTCCACTGACCCCTCTTCTCTTTGTCCCCCCAGCCCCCTGTTTGGCAGTGACGTCTCCCAGGTCTTCAACATCGTCAACAGCGTTTGGTCTGCCACAAGCAGCCACTGTCCGGCACCAGAGGTGCAGAAGCAGGGCTGCAGAAGGTCTTTCCCCCTGGAAAAAGACTCCGTCTCCGCTCCCTCCCCCTCTCTGCAGGCAGGGAGCATGTAAAGCCAGCCATCAGCACCCAGCGCTCTCCACTGACCCCTCTTCTCTTTGCCCCCCAGCCCCCTGTTTGGCAGCGACGTCTCCCAGGTCTTCAACATTGTCAACAGCGTGGAGCAGTACACGGCCATGGGCGGTACTGCCAAGAACAGCGTGTCTGCCCAGATTGAGCAGCTGAGGGAGCTGATGAAGAGGCTGAAGGAGCAAGCTTAGAGTGTGGGGAGATGTCCCGTGGATGCAGCGTTGTGCCTATTACACTAATTTGGAGTTAATAAACACTGTGGTGCATGTAGTTCATTGAAACTCCTGTCTGGCATCTTTCTTCTTAGGGGCAAGGTTGAACCGGGCTTCCTCAGCCCTCATGAGGCTTGGGGAAATACTCACTGGTGTGTGAACCTTGCAAAGGAGCTGGGTTATGGGGTGTCAAGTTTTAGGAGGCTGCTAAGTAGAGAGCAGCAGGAGTGTCAGTGCAGCTGTTGAGGGCAGCTTGTGTGTGTCCAAAGAGACAGACACTTGGTACAACATCTGCATCACACGCCACATCTCCAGCTATCACTACTCTCCTCTTAGGATTATGTTTCCCTGCCTGCCTTCTGGCAGGAAAAAAAGTCTCCTTACCACCTGGCACCAGAACTTGCATTGTCTTAGGCAGGTCTTGGCCAGCAGGTCAACCCACAGCTCATCCCAGCCCATCACAAAACCACCGCTGGCTCTGGTTTACACTGAAGCACAGGGTTGCATGGTCCTAGGTCCAAGCTCTTTCCTCTGCATGATGCATGCCCTGATTTGCCACCAAGCTAGCTGGGGCAGAGTGCTTAAAAAAAAAAAAAAAAAAATCCCTGGCATTGCATTGCTCTTGCCTCTTACAAAAATCATTTACTATCCTCCCTTCTGTCCTTACAGAATTAAACTCAGAACAAAGACCACGAAAAGTCTTGCTTGAGGAATGCAGTCCCAGGAACTTCCTGAGTCCCGTGCTGCTTACTGCCATGTTGCTCTGGTTTAGTGCATTCTTCCCACCTTCCAGCTATGTTAGCTGTGGCAGAGAAATCCATTACATACGCTTAATTCAGGTGGAGAAGTGACAGCAACAGCCAACATCAACAGACTCAGAAGAAAGGATTATTTCCTCCTCCCCAGCTCATGCTTCTTTTCTTTCCTCACCTAAGTTTTCTCCCCACTTGTATTTTCTTGTTCCTGGTCCGTACATTCACACGCCTCAGCTGACGAGACTTTTGCTTGTTCCCAGCTGCCCCTGTTCAGCATCTTGAGGGTCAGTGCTAAACAATGTGCGGCCCTGCTGATTGAAAAAAGAAGGTGGTTTTAGCAGATTATCACATCTCTGTCTCTTGCTTAAATAAATAGCTCATAATCACTACTACTCCCCATTTCACCCTCCACCTTTCTGATATTCTCATGTGTCACCAAGCCTTTCATTGATCTGCAATAAATTGAACTGTTGCTTCTGGAATTGAAGCAGATACAGCATGACTGACAGAGGCTTATTGCACATGGAGGTACATCTTCTCACCCAGGAAACAAACACAGGCTACAAATAAATGTACTGTAAAATTAAAATCAATCTGATGGCATTTCTGTCCTCCTGTGACACTTTTCTCCATCCTGCTTCATTCCTAACAAAGTTCTGAGGGACGTGATCTCAATGGGAAACATTACCAAGCTTCACAGCCGAGTCCCGAGGTGGTCTTCTAACACAGAGATCTTTTTTCTGCGGGTCCCCAAGATGACATCTGGTCATCAGTGCTGCTCTTTCCCATTTCTAGCAACTTCTTGCCCTCTCACTTCAACGAGTGACTCTGAAAAGAAGTAGAATTAAGCAAGCAGGTAAATAAATAACTAAAAGAAATACACACACACAGAGACACAGACAGACAGATAGACAGACAGACAGACAGACAGACAGACAGACAGACAGTCTCTCTCTCTCTCTCTCTCCACCCCGGGAAATCCAGCAGCCCCGGACACAGCCCGGCCCCTGCAAGGGGGGTCAGGCCAGGCT